GCACGTCTATCGGAAAGGGTCAGAATGATAGGAATGAGAGAACCGCGAACCGGTCCGTCACGTGGTGTGCGTATGACACATATATACTAACATAAATAAATACTTACGCATGAACACACACACACAGAGAAATATATATACACAGTTACACAATGCTGCGTATGATGTGTCGTGCGAGTTTCATCATTCCCATCGAACATTTATAATATATATATATATATACATATATCTTAATATGTATTGGTATCAGTAGTTGTATTAGTAATGCTAGTAGTCGAGGTAAGTGCGAGAAAGCTTGGATCGTAGGTGGTGTGCGTGAAGATTGATTATACCGCGGGAGAGAAAATGTGATCAATAGCTCGACAAACAAAGGCCCACCAACGCCTATATCATGCAAATAGCAAAAATCACGGAGGATTAGGGGCTCGTTGGGGGGTGAAAAAGGGGTGAAGGTAACGGACGAGAAAGAGGATATATGAGGAGAATGAGGAGGAGGAGGAGAGTGGACCATGGTCAAGAAACAATGCCTTTACGCGTGTGGCTACTTCGTCCTTTACACGACACACCATATCCCTTTTTCTTTTTCTATCTTTCTCTCTCTCTCTTTCTCTCTTCTCGACTTTCCTACCCCCTTCGAATACACATACTCATATATATATATATATATACACCATGACTAACACCATGGTATAAACCGTCCTGCTTTAATTTGCATACGACCGATCGTGTCTTCCGATTCGATTCACCTTCGCGTCCTCACCCACCATCCACCTACCCACCCCCTTCAACGCCATGCTTCACGACCATCGATCAAGCCCCAGTTGTTTTTCATCCACCTCCTTCTCTACCACCTTCTATCTTTCTCTCTTTCTCTCTTGGTTTCCATCTAGGGAAGCCGATGGTCACTATAACACCCCCCCTGATCCACCCCATATACCTTACCGTTCGGTATATGCACACATACCAACAGAAAGCCCACTTTAACAACTGAACTCCCTCCCGCCCCCTCTCTTTTTATTTTGTTTTTTTAACCGAGAATCTCGCTAACGAGAGACTCCTCTTTTACTCGATGACATTGTTCACCCATAGCAGAAAAGGTGCTGTAACGTCACCCCTTTTCTTTTCACTACCACCCCCCAACCCCTCTTCTCGAGCTCCACCTTTTCCCACTCATTCCTTCTAACTACTCTTTCTTTCTTTCTTGTCATTTTCCCTCTGTCGGACCTTCGGATTCTCTACGGATCAGGGGGTGGGTCAACCTTGATCCTTTTTTTTTTTTTATAGGATCTCCTTAACGCCATGAGATTGTTCGTTTCTGTCCAAGACAGCGATACGAATTGAGTATTCATTTGGAGTACTATTATTTACTCTGTTCAATGAAATATTATACTTGCGATAATCGTTTGATATACTTATTAGGGTTAACCATAAAGTTTGTGAGTTTATATTTGTTAAAAATTGTTTCGTATAAACTGCATAACGTGAATTGTTTTAATCTAAAATGTTCATTTTAATTTTTAATTTAGCCTAATATTTATCCTACTCGGATTTGGTTTATTTTAACAACGGGGGTGGGGGATGAGGCTTAACTTTTGTCAGAGATACATTTTTATAATAATAGGAACGATGTTTTTATTTTATCAATATAAATTATATATCGAAGCGCTTCGTGACAATTTATCTGGAACCGTAGTTCTCTTAGTCACGTCACATTTCATTTATTTCCGGATTCCAATATGTCGCAGCAGTAAATTCTTAACCTTGCCTTAACTAGACGTAACGTTACTCAACGTACATTATCCGTTATCCAGAGCTTGCCGAGTTGATTTATCAAGCAACGTGTGTTTGTACGAATTTACGATCTACTATCCATAACGCGGGATTTAATTATGCTCTCCTCCCTCCACCCCCGCATGACGTTCGCGGAAATCCGATTCCAAAGTACGATTTTTCAATCGAATAATTTGGATGAGGTTTATCTTTTTATAGAAAAAGTACAATGACACCCATCCACGTTTTGACATTTTACGTTGATACGTTTTATTGTTTCTAAAGGATCTTATTTACAACTGATTAAAACGAATGAATTATCATAATCAATAAATATTTTAAAAATGATCTAACGTTTCAATCATTTTTCTTATCGATTTAGATTTATTTAAGAAATTATGCACCTTGACACAATTTATTGCATACCAATGATTTATTTATTTCAATAGATTTATGTAAACGTATTAATATAAAAATAACAAGAAACAAAACGCGAGCGGATAAACGAATGGAAGTGAACAGAGGGGTTTGGTGGACGGTGGAGGGAGGAGGGAGGGTAGAAAGAGATAGATAGTCAGACAGGTGTAGTCCGATACCGGTAAAAGTAAGTTCCCGCAACGTTATCGATCATAAAAAAAAGGGAAGTGCAAAACGTAGGAGACAATCGACAGATAGCAACACAGTTCGCAACATGTAATATAAAAGCAACTATACAAATGTAACTGCTGACCGACGTAACTCCAAGGTTCTTCGATTTTTCCAGTTATGCACAAAGCAGCAGATGCATTATTCGCGTAAGTTGCATTGAGAAGAAACTTGATCGAAAGTCTTCGAGAACTTTTTTTTTTTTTACATATGTATAATATTTATTTTACTTACCAAACCCCCCTGCCCCCTTGCCCCTTGCCCCGCCACGCCCCCTTACATACTCGTTCATATTAAATATTTTAACGAGTTTAAAAAAAAATCAAGACGCGAAAAGAAAAATTTATCCTTGTTTAAATGTTCGATTAAAAAAAAAAAATAGAAAAGGAAGGAATAATTAAGAAAAATATTCTAATACGCGTTAAACAAAATGAAATATGATTTTATTCAATGGAAGTAAAAATTCTTAACAAACAAATAAAAAAAAAAGAAGGAATGACCAATGTTGTTTGTTATCTCGTATATGCGAAAATAGGTGTCCCCTAACTACCAGAACAAGTTGAAAATATACGTAACAGATATACCTATATAAAAAGAGAGAGAGAGAAAGATGTAGGAGAGATGTCGGAGGTGTGAATTTTGTAAAATTGAAGCTCTCGCTCCTCAATTAACCCCCGGTATCATGGAAAAAAAAAGAGGGCGATGCCTCGACGAGGAAAAACAATTGATACGATCTCGTTCACATCGCCCGTTGCACCACCGTACGCGCTACAGTGCAAACGCATTCGGCTTTAAAATCGTCCCATCCTACCAACCAACCAACCAACCAACCAACCAACCAACCAACTCGGCTCGTTTTCTATCTCCTTTCCCCCAAACTCTCTTTCCAAACCCACTCCTATAACTCTTTCTCACTCTCACTCTCATTCTCACTCTTCTTTCTATCTCTATCTCTCTCATCGTTCGTTCGTTCATTCATCCATTCCTCTTCTCGCTCTTCCGGATACGCATTCGGTTGCATGAACTCGACTAAACACATGGATAGCTTTCGAGTGCTAGCGATTCATCGCAATTCATTCCGATTGATCGTGGAAACTCAACAGATAATCGGCTCTACATTGGTGTGTGGTGGCATCATCATCATCATCATCATCATCATCATCCATCGAACGATACTTTTCTTTCTTTTTTTTTCTCCTAGTCATCGATGATTCTACGTGACACTTATATCATTCTTCCTCATATACCTTTTTCATCGTAATTCCTCACCCTGTAGAAGAAGATAATGTAAATAAAAAGGATAATAAATACGATTCGAAGTATATAAACTGATATGTGTGTGTGTGTAAGTAAGTGGGGGAAGGAGAAAATTGAAGAGAATTGGTAGAAATATAGATTCCAAAGATGAACATGTGATAGTAAGAGAAGAAAGATGTGGTAAACGAGAGGGGTATAGGTAAAACGTGGAAGATGTAGATCTTGATAATCAGTCGATGACAGCTACTATCTGAATTGTTAACGACTCGTTGAACGATCGTTTTCACTAGGAACATGCAGGAGACATGAATAACTGCTATCATAACTGAGAACACTTCTTCATCATCCGAAACTTTAATTTTCTTCATTTTATTTATCAATGAAAACAGTAACTTTAATCCATACCATGTGATCATACATATACGTAGAATCTTTGATTATATTCTTATCGATTCCCTATTTCTATATATACGTTATATAATATATTACATAATATATATTCTCTCAATAAAATTAATAAAGAGCTTTTGGTAAGCTCCTTTAGGGGATATCGCTTACCTATGGATAAGCAATGCTTGCCCAGATGGTTTCGAGTTGAAAGGAATACGTCGCAAATGTGATTCCATATTTACGTCTTCGATAATGCGATTATTATGTATATATATGTTACCGTCAAAGCCGAAAATCAGTCATTGCTAGTAATTCCTCGGCATTTTCATCAATGCAAAAAGCATTCAGACGAAGTAGGAAACAGAAGAATTCTTACAGTTTTTCTTAAGCATTGAACATAATACTTTGATATTTTATAAAAAAATATTTACAGAGACTTTTCGAAGAAATGTCAGAGAATGCAATGCTGTAAATTGTGCATCTTTGCTATTTCTTTGAAAAATTTTGGTAAATATTTGTTATACTAAAAGTGAATAGATTTTAATAAAACTTATATTAAATAAAAGTACAGTCTTTTGTCTACGCGTAGAATACCATATCGAGTAAAAAATTTAGCATGTAAACTTCAGAAAATGTCAGAGAATGCCATGCTGTAAATTGTGCATCTTTGCTATTTCTTTGAAAAATTTTGGTAAATATTTGTTATACTAAAAGTGAATAAATTTTAATGAAACTTATATTAAATTAAAGTGCACTCTTTTGTCTACGCATAGAATACCATATCGAGTTATAAATTTAGCATGAAAAGTTCAGAAAATGTCAGAGAATGCAATGCTGTAAATCGTGCATTTTTGCAATTTCTTTGAAAGGTTTCGGTAAATATTTTTTATTATTTTATATTATTTATAATTATTTCTTTTTTTCTTTGTATGTTTTAGATCGGTCAATTGTTGGACGAGGTGTCAAGGTTACAACAAAATTTGCAACGTCTCCAAGATACTAACGCGCAAGCGACGGCACGCCTCGAGGAAGAACTCGAAGCACGAAGACAACACATCACAAGATTGGAGAGCAAATTGGAACGGCAGAGAGATTACGATGACCTGAAACGCGAGATAAGCGTGTTAAGGTCGGTTGATCTATCACAAATTCCAACCGGTGAACCTGGAAAAAGTCTGGAACACCTTTTAATGGAACGTTCCAAGGCCCTTCAACAAGCCGAAAGTTTAAAACCACCTAACACGCCTGACACGCTCGGTAAGTTTTTCTTCTTCTTCTTCTTTGTCTTTTTTTTTTTGCCCCCTATCAATCATTTTATCAAATCATCATTCCCGCGTGCGGATATTTTATATTTTATGATGTAAAATTATAATCGCGTTAATTCGAAGAATATCTTTCTTATTTTGTTTTTTTTTTCTTTTTCTTATGCAATTTTTTTTCATCCAATAATTACATTCCAAATCTTTTTACGTTTTCATTAACATTGAAATATTAGCAACAAATAATTCTGACACTGCTTTATAAACGTTTTTTAAAGCGTATTTACGAAACAGGGTTAATTAGAATTTATTAGAAAAGTCATTAAAATACGTTAAGGGAAACTTTACTTGTCTTTAACAATTAGTACATAACATGATTTAAGATTTCTCAGTCATTGTGATAAGACAAAAGTTTAGGCTACGTAACGTTTATGGTTAAAACAGATCAAAGATTATTTTAATTAGCATCATTTAGCACCGCATCGCTTTTCAAATTTCTATTTTGCTACTGCTCTGATCTTCGGTCGTCGCCGACTCTCTCTCCTCGAGGCCTCCTAACGTTGAATTATAATTCGAATCAAAAATATAAACAATACGAACAAAAATTATGCAACTTATAACAAAATAGGGCACGAGTCTCATGCTATGCGCGGATATATATCAAATAAACAAAAAAATAATAATTATAATCGAGGGATGACTGAAACAGCTTACGAAAACAATAATTTCGATTAAATAAACCGAAAAAAAAAAAAGAACAAATCAAATTTAACCCTGCTTGCCATTGTGTTCGCACTTTTCTCCAACTTATCTCTTTTCTCCTTTGTCTATCAAAATGATTTATTTTTTTTTTTGGTTACTTTCTGTTACTATCCACCATCTTTATTTTCCTTTTTTTTTTCTATGATACCAACGATTACCATTTTTCCACTATAACATTGTCTTCATTATTTCTTCTACTTCTTTTTCATTTTTTCTTGTCTTTTTTGTTTCGTTATCTGTTCTCTATCTGTTTGTCTCATTCTCTATCTCTCTCTCTCTCTCACTCTCTGTGTTTCTCTCCACTTTATATTCTCCCTCGAATCCTTCGTTGCTTAGGCTGCACTTTTTTGTTCGAGTCACTCTCACCGAAAAAAAAAAAAAAAAAAAAAAAAACAAAAAAGAAAACGAAAAATAAAGAAAACAAAAAAATCAGGTACCACCACGTGTACATGTGTATATTAAAAACGTACACTATCACGTAAAAGTTACTAACGTTACGGAACACATATTATCTCTCTCTACCCTATTCCGTCTGTACACCTCCGACATCTGCCCTACAACCCTTTCCCTCACCTCAACCTCCTCAACCTCCTCCTCCTCCTATCCCTCATCATCGACCTTTTGCCAAACGTTACCGAACGTCCCTTTTCCTTCATACGACATACCGTTCCCTCCCACCCCCCTTAACCACTTTTCCTATTCCTTTTACGTGCCCTCCTCCCTACGAAACGCAACACCCTACCTAACTACTACTACTACTACTACCACCATCATTCTGAACTCCACCACCACCCCAGCCCACCCCAGCCCCCTTCTTGTTGCCAAATCGTCGTTGCTGCCGCTGCTACTACTACTCTCCTCTTCTACACACTGGGATACGCAAATTTGTGGACGATATTCGCAGTATTTGCCCAGGCCCGGGCTATTGTTTCGGGTACGGAGTTTATTATGAATCGATCCAGGACTCTTCTCTACTACGTACGTACGTGTACCACCAAAAGAGGTGCCCACTTAAAAAGATATACATATATATAGTGAGAGAGAAAGAAAGAGAAAAAGAGAGAGAGAGAGAGAAAATAAATGCACGTCGCGAGAATCAAAGAGAGGGATAAAGAAAAAGAAAACTCAGCCCTTGTAGAGAATGAGAGGGAAAGAGAGAGAGAGAAATATACGCCAACGTCGACACTACCTATCTACTTACCCCCCCTTAAACCTCCCACCCATTATCATTAAATCCTTTCCTACTCTCTCTTACTTTTTTGAATTTAAAACAATCGAAAACCAAAAAAAAAACTCGCTCTCTTTATTCGTCGTCATCGTTACCACTCCCAATTTGTTGTTACTTTGTTTTTCTATCGTATTTTTTTTCCCGTCCTTCCTGACCTAATCTAACCTTATTTCCTTGATTCCTTACTTTTTAGGTTTTCTTAGAACACATCGGAGACAATTTCTCGAACGTATTTTGTTTTACTTGCGGACGATTGTTGTTTGTTTTATTTTTCATTTTTTTTTGTGGTTTAATCTCTTGTCGATTGGTCCAAAGTTTGTCTTTTTTTTTTTTTTCTCACTACAAAACACCGCTACCGCCACCACTACCCCCTTTTTTATCGTTTCGAAGATTCTTTTATTTGATATTTTCTTTTGTATTTTGTTTGTTTTTAATTCTTTTTTTTTTGTACTCGGGTATATTGTTATTTTGTTGGATAGAGTCCGAAAGTAAATTGATATTTATATCGAGGCACCTAACGCGACAATGGAAACGGAGAGAGTCTAGGTCGTATTACGAAACAAAAAAGAAAAGAAAAGAAAAAACAGGACAAATAATAGATTCGAATGAATTCGTGGAGAGAATCGAAACCAAAAAAAAAAGAATTAAGTAAAACTAAAATAAAACAAAATGTATAGAGAGATAAAGTAAGCCGACGATCAGAAAGTCAGTATCCTGTTTTTTTTTCAATGAAAAAAACGACGGAGATTATTAGGCCTGAGTTATCTGTAGTGCGCGTGCAACCGTGTTGACGGGGTCCCTTGTGTTTTTGGTGGTTGCAGGTGGACTATCGTCACCCCTGCAGCGCGCCTCGACCGCCTCGCCCCATGGGGTCGGAGGTGGGCCACCTTCGTCCCTAGTATCCTCCCAACAAGCCCCACCGCCACCTCCGACCTCGGTTTCCCTCCCGCCACGTTCCACGCCGACACCTTCCTCCGCAACATCGACGACTTCCAGCCTCCTCTTCCCCCCGCCTCTCCAAAACGTCGAAACCTTCGGCTCCTTCCTTGGCGAGGAGATCGTCGCCAACTGGAGGCGGACGTTGGAAAGGTCGATCATAAATCAACAACAACAACAGCAGCAGCAACAACAACAACAGCAACAGCAGCAGCAGCAACAACAACAACAGCAGCAGCAGCAGCAACAACAACAACAGCAGCAGCAGCAAGTCCAACAGGTGCAACACCAACAAGTGCAACAACAACAGCAACAGCCTCAACCACAACCACAACAACAACCACAGCAACAACAACAAGCCACTCAAATATCTCAATTAACGCAACAACAGTTGCAACAAGTCCAACCATTGATAGGACTTCATCCACCTACAACGCCAAGTAGCCTAAATCATCTTCCCTCACCAACAGAAGCATCGTCAAGTACCAACGTACCGAGTAAATCCAGCACACCATTGGGTACGACGTCGATGGGAACGACGACGTTAACCACGACGAATTTAGGCACGACGGGACTCGGTACAACGTCGTTGGGTACGTCGACATTGGGCACGGCGTTGGGTACGACGTTAGGTACGACGTTAGGTACGACGTTAGGTACGACGTTAGGTACGACGTTAGGTACAACGTTAGGGACGACGTTGGGTACGACATCGTTGATCGGTTGTCTTGATCCGAGCGAGAAGGCGTCGACGCCAGTTCCCGGTCACGAAACGCCGGCGCCGCAGACCCCATCCTCGACGAGTGCCATGACATCGCCCCCGAGCTTTCAACCGCCCACGTCGATGGTTGAGACGAGCACCTCCTCCGCCTCCGTCAACGGTGGAGGCGTCACGCCCAGTGCCGTGTCCACGGCGCCGCCACCTAAAAGCCCGGCGGATCAGGAATCCTGTCACAATAATAATAACAACAGTCATCATTTAGCTAATAACAATATCGGTGGGTTGAGCGTATTGGACACATTAAAAAGTCCCTTCCGTTTCGATGACAGAACGCATCCGTTCAGATTCGGTGATGAATTTGGTGCGGTCGGAATGGCCGGTAGACTTGGTGACTCCTTAATACCTAAAGGTGATCCCATGGAAGCGAGATTACAAGAAATGTTGCGTTACAATATGGACAAGTATGCCTCACAAAATCTGGACACCCTACACATAGCCAGAAGAGTACGAGAACTCTTATCCATACATAATATCGGTCAAAGACTATTCGCCAAATATGTTCTTGGATTGAGTCAAGGTACCGTCAGCGAGTTACTCAGCAAACCCAAACCATGGGATAAACTCACCGAGAAGGGACGGGATAGTTATAGGAAGATGCACGGTTGGGCTTGCGACGACAACGCGGTAATGCTGCTCAAGTCCCTAATACCCAAGAAAGGTGAGTACCGATGTGTTCCAACGATCTATCTCTCCGAATTATTCTCTCTTTCTATTTTTACATATATATATATATACATACATATACATAGAAGAAACTTGATTATCTCAAAACACGTACTACAACTCTGGCCTTCGACGAATCTAAAATATGATTGATCGAGATCTAAATTTTGATCAAAACTCTCAAACAACATCGTTAATCCATTAATGGTATAATTCAGTTACATAATAATACAAAATAATTGTTATCCGATGTTTCGATCAAATGATATTGTATCTCGATGAATCAGAATAAAAATCTGATTGAAAAATCTTCTCTTCTTACGCCTTGCACTGCCAATAATCCATCTCGCCGAATGACTAACAAATACATAACTAGCTGTATACATTGTTTTAACCTCTCTTGGCTGCTTAATACGGGAATCGATGGTACTTCTATTCGCTCTTCTAACCGCACCCTGCAGGAAAGGAACTTAATGCTCATCCCAGACGTCGAATCCCTCGGCACATTCGCGACAATCAAAATGAAGGGAAAGATATAGGTACTCATTCGTTTACGTTATTCTCGAATATCTCTTATTAGATATAACGAACGGTACGGAACGAAAACGAAACGGAATTGAACTGAAATTGAAACATTAAAAGAGAGTACAGTATGTTTCTCATTTTATTTAATCGCAACAAACATATTTCATAGAAATCATTGTTGGAAATTAAATGAATAGAATTAAGGAGGTTTTAGATGGATGTGATAAGCTATAGCAAATGAAATCAAACGAATCAATAGATTTGATTACATCGTGTCTTAGCATTGACTCTATATCCATGTTCTTATATCGATTATTTGCTGCGTTTGGCAGCCATATTGTTTAGTGATAATCGAAAGGAGAGACGAGTGTTTGATAATGATGAGCCATTGATTGTTTTTAAGAAATTAAATACAATAATATGTTTTTTATTTTTATTCTTATTTTTTTCTTATTAATAGAGATCAATTAAAATTTATAATATAAATATAGTAATTAATTAAATATATATATATTATAAATTTTATTTAATTCTTAAATATTAAATAGGTCAGATATTATAGGAAACGAGCTTTAGAAAATGTGATTCGAATTATATTTCAATTCAACGACAAACGAATCGAATTAGTTCGAATCGGAAGCAGCAGCTCCTCCCCCTCTTTGACCCTACCTCCCCACCACCCAAAGTCTCTCTTTCTCTTTCTCTCTCTCTCTTTCTCTTTTATGTAAAAAAAAAATATTAATATCAATCGTCAGAGGATGTCGATCGTCGTTCTCATAATGGCGCATCCTCTGACTTGTACGTCCGGTTTCGGCGTGCGAAATAAAAATAAAAATAAATTCAATAAAATAGACAGAGAGACTGAGAGAGAGAGTGAGTTAAAGAGAAAATGAAATAAATAAAGAAAGAAAGAGAGAGAACTCGGTGACAAAACATGAGTCATGCGTCAATGGATTGTCGGTTTCCGTCGGGATCACTGACAACGATAATCATCGAGAGAAAAAGGATGAGTGAGGGTTTTGGTGGAAGGGTGAAAGGGAGGTGAAAGTTACGAAACATTGAACGAGAAAGAGGAAGGAATAAAATATGCCCCATGTGTATATGTTTTATTATAATCATGCTGATTATTATTATTATTATTGGAGATAAAATTATATCTCCTTAAAATAATTTTTTCATTGATATTTATTTTGTTAAAAAAGAAAGATACTCAACCGAGATCATGGTTCTTGTTGCATAGTCATCGTCGTTCATAGATAAACTTCGATAATTGTGCGGCCGATAGTTCGTTGATCATTTTCAGTAGGATAAATATACCTTACTCATATTTCATGCACCTAAAGTTACCTTAATCGACGCGTGATTTATGGGCAAAAATCATCAAGACTTTATTTATCCCCCACCCCTCTCCACTTCCCCATCATCCCCCCGTTGAAAAGACCATAACCAGAGCTCGGCTTCTCTCTAACTCTCACGTCAGTAAGATAAGTTTTCATCGACTAAATACCTACCCTAGCCTAACGACTTATTACGTTAAAGGTGTTTTATAGATATATAGGATACTGGAAATCGTTCGAGCGTGCAAAAACCACCAACCTGTCTTTGAAGGATTCATTATAGGCCTACTCTTCACTATGTCAGTTCAGTCAATCTTAAATATTGTTCATTCGTTTCTCCTATTTGTATTTAATTCATTTATTTATAATCTACATTTTGTCATCGAGATATTCATATGAAAAATTACTGTTTTTTATTTAATTTAACTAACCCTTATTTCATAAAAATTTATCAATAGTAGGATAAAATAATGAATTGTACTTTTTCCAAACTTAATTTTAGTCATAACTTTTGTTAACAATTTTAGATTGAACATAAACCGATAAAATTATTTAACAATGAGATTAAACTTAAATTGATTAGGATTAATGATCGCGGGTAGAATCAGATGTTAAAAAAAATAGTTATAGATGATAGGTATATCGTTGAAAGTAAAAATAATGAAATAACATTTTCGTAGCAGACCACTTCATGACTAATCCAGCAACAAACATATCTGGATGTCGGCCCACAATTTAATGCAACGCGTCCGAATAGACGTTTATTATTGCCGGCCCCAAGGCAATGATGTTAGACCAACGTGAAACGAACGCACATTGCATCGAAGACTACTAGCATAGGTAGTAGAAACACAATTGATCTAAGCATACCAATGTACGGATGCGCTTGCCTTCAAGAGCAACGCACGGACGAGATTACGGTAATAAAGATAGTTGGTACCGGTCCAAGTCAGTTTATCGCAGGATTTTGTTTCTTGTTCAAACGCCAACCATTCGCTGAATTCGTCGTCTTATTCCTCCCACTCTTCCTACTTCAATACTCCCACTCTTAGTACTGTTCACCCGTTCCCCACTTCTTCGTCTTAGTTGTCCTCATCGAAGACAACAATTTCTAAGTTGAATTGCATATGTTTCCTTTCTAATTCGAACGAATTCGTACTCACTTATTTTATTTACATCATCATTTTGATTATTTGTATATATATTTCAATGAATATATCATAAGTTGTGACGTAATTTCTATTGATTTTAGGTATCACATTATTTTCTAATATGCCATGTGTTTGATAAGAATTTTGATTAAAAATTTCATCGATAGTTACTTATTTATTAAAAAACTTTTAGGTTGGTATAATATTTTTAATAGAATCAAATTAATTTTATTTTTCAACTGCTACAATTTATAAATAAGAATTTGATTAACAATTGAGTATTTTCGTTGAATAATAATATTTGCAATTACTCTGAAACTCGTTTTTTTAAAGAAACTATGAAATTGATCAGAAAACTTGTTATGCAATCGGTTGCCACGATCAAATAATTTCAGCAACAGTAGATAGATTACCCTAAATCGATAAACCATATGATAAGAACATAGAAGACAAAAGATCGCTGACCCGTTTCGCAGTTGGCGTCGTGAAACCTTCGCTAGTGTTTTTTTTAATTGGTCTCTCACTTTATTCGAACAATAAGACGGTCGATTCGTTGCGTACCGATTCTCGAGTATGTATTTCTTTTTATTAGATACAGTAATAAGAAAAACGACGAGTTGTTAGTTGGGGAAGGTGGAAGGGGAGGTAGAAGAGAGGATTTTAGGTGTAAATGAAGGAAAAAAAAAGAAAAGAAAAGAAAAGAATGACGATTAAGACGCGTACGCAAAAGATGAGGACGAGTTTCCACGCGTATTTCTACGCGATTCTAAATAAAAAAAAAAAAGAAGAAAAACAAAAAGACAATGGCTACCATTGGTGCAGCTCGAACCAACTAACTGGTAGAAACAACAACGTAATATAATAGTATCGTTCGGATGGGACGACGCAACCGGTAACAACGTCTACGCAATAATCGGCGTTGTGTTTCTTAACAGTCGGTTCGGTTGCTTAGGGAATTCTCACGAAATCGTTCCAGATTTTGTAATCGGCCATTGTCGACGAACCGACTCGAAGTAAATGGCGACACACAGTACTACTCGATCTATTGTGCTACGCGCGACCACGATTTCTCGTTGATCTAATCATCGATGCTCGAAAGAAACCCAAGATAGAAACTTCAACATTACCATCATCACTACCAACAGCAACACCTAAATCTTATCGTTTCGATGAACAAACTTTCTCTACTTTACTTCTTTTTTTTTTTAGGATATAATTTGGGTACAATGTTTTATTCTTGTATCAAATTGGATCTATCTTTGTCGATTGTTGTTCAATTATTTTAGAATTTTTCTTAATAGAGTGTTCATAAATCATTCCTATGAACAAACTTTCTGTATTTTTATTTTTTTAGGTTATCACAATTGGGTATAATATTTTATTTCTATATCAATTTGGAATCTTTCTTTATCGATTGTTGTTTAATTGTTTTAGAATTTTTGTTGATAGAAAGTAGGTCAAAGAAAAATGATGAGATAGAAAAAAAAGAGAGAGAGAGAGAGAGGGAGAGAGGGAGAGAGACAAAAAATCAGAGCGGAAATGGTTAATTACGCGAACCGCCTGTAAACCGTCCGAAGTTGTATTCGCGCGAAGCAGAGATACTAGACGATAATTAGTTGTGTTCATCGTACGTTACAATCGTTACCAGGCGTTAGATCGCTAGACGTTAGATCGAGATCTAACTTCTTCACGACTATAACGTTAACTTTGCCTTCTTCTAATTTCTTTATTACCTTTTTCTACTTCTACTTCTTCTTTTTCATCGTCTCTCTCAATCTCTCTGACTCTGACTCTCTCAGTTTCTATCTATTTATCTCTTTTTATCTTCATCTCTATTTCACTTCGAAGTTTCATGAAGATTCTCACTCGAGAAAATGCCGCTGGATATATCTCGAGACGGATATACAATCGTGGAAGCACACCTAACTAAATTCGCACGCTTTTCTTTCTATCGTTTCTCATGCTTTTACGTTCGATAAACT